TTGGCGTGTAGCTGTCGCTCGTCGCATGCGACTCTTCAGCTCCTTGTAGACCATGCAGACACATTTTTTCGTATTGTGGTCTTCTTTGTTCGCAGGGCAGTGTGCGTAATTGTGGAAGTCTCCACAGACTACGCAGACTGACCGAAGGGTGCAGTAATTCCTTTTATGTCCATACTCCTGGCAATTTGTGCATTGCACAGGACCGTTGCGTTTGTGCGGTTCTTCCACGGTGATTCTTCGGTGCAGTAGGAACTGCGGCTTGTAGATCGGGTGAACTTCATTCTTCTTTAGGGTTTTGCTATCTGGCTCAAGTTCGACTTTGAAAAGTGGTTGCAGCTTTTTATTTTTGTTGATAATGTTTCTAACATTCTTGGCAAAGACACCCTTGCCTTTCAAGGCTTCTAGTATCTCAGAGGGGGCGACGTCTGGTTCAATTGCTTTTAGCACTACTTGCAGTCCCTTGCTGCTATTTAGTTGGTAGGTGTAAAAGTTCTTTTTTGATTCTTCCAGGTATTTAGACACAGCCCGGAAGTGTTCTTTTGATTTGGTTTGCACTTTGGTTTCGCAAATGTTCCCTTTAATTAACGGAACATCATGAAAGTTTTCGTCCCCGACCAACGCAACAATTTTGTTGACCAGGGCGTTTGAACTTTTCTCCCTAATATAAATAGGTGGGGGCTTTGGCTGCTTTTGAGTCTCCTGCTTCGGCTCTGCTTGGTTATTCTCATCAGCTGCTAGCGGGGAAAATCTGTTGGTTGGGTCGTAGCTTTTGGTGACATGGATGATCTTAGGTTTGTTACCAACCGTGTTATGTGGGCTGAGCTTAAGCTTAATTTGGATGTAGCGATCCATGCCAGTCTGTATGGCCGGAACCGCTTGTTGCTTATCGGAGCTCACGGTTTTTGTTACCATTGGATTTGGCGCTGCGGCCGTTGGCACCGATTTCGCAATATTGGTCGTTGGCATAGTTGTTGTTGCTTTTGCTGCGTTTGCAGAAATTGCAGCACTGCTTGTTGTTGGTGCGTCTTCCATCGACGCCGGTGATGGTGGGTTTTGGCATTGGTAGCTCCAAGATGTAGGAGCTGGAGTGAGTAGGGCGGGTGAGCGAGAGCGCGCTCTCTTGGCTGTCAGTAGAGCCGGGTTGGGCTTGGTAGACGTTTTTTCTGCTTCGATAACGCGAGTTGAGAAATAAGAGAAACAACCGTTTCTTTGGTTTACAGAGATTCTACGCTCATTCTTTTGGTCGCCGTTCATTATTTTGAGCTTGTTACGCGTGGCACCATATAAATGAACTTGGCAGCTCAAAAACACGTCTCACGCACTAGTGTCCGTAAGTCGTACGTACTGTAGGGCTTGGCTTAACTATCAGTACGTAGTTTAGTTTAGAGTTTCACCATGGAAAACACTATGAGAATAAACCTCGCGTAGCGGTCGTCCGTAGGCATGTCTTGCCTCGATGAAGGTCGAATGCGAATGACGTCTTTTTCCTGTTGCCAGTACTCGAATTCATTGGTCGAAGAAGTTAAGCATTGAGTCGAGACCCTAAAGTTGTCTGGAACCATCTAACTACTGTTCGAAGAAGGCTCAATTAGCAAAATTTAATTTTAGCTTAATAATAGCAATCAATATCCCAGCTAGATACATCGAATTCTAGTCCCTTAAATGATGCCAGGAACTCGATAGTTGTTATATACAACTCTTTCAATGACTTCGGATCGTCACTATTTGTGTGGTGTGCAAAAGACGATTAAAAATCGTGTCAGTACGACATTTTGCGTACTTTCGGCATGTTAGTATCATGGACCATGCATTTGAGTAGTAGATTCCCATCGAATTTTGAGATGCTAACTCTGGGCAAGTGTACATCTTTATTGCTCGATGGGTTTGTTTTTGCCCCTAACACTTTTTGAAAGTCCCTTTCTAGTCGGACAAAAGACTGCATGTCGTATCCTCCCTTGACCGGGTCTTCGTGTTCTTCATGAACCGAAAAAATGTTTTCATGCGCTTGTGACCATACTGGTTTTATCAAATCAATAGTAACGGTCTTTCCGGTCTCTGAAAATACCTGGATACTTATGGTCAGATTCAACTGTGTTTCTATCCTGGATGAACGCATCAGCGGCATCATATTATACGTTCGTGGCAAATCGGATCGCAAAAATCCAAGCAGTTTCAGACCAATCTCAGTGGCGTCACGTGTCATAGGCTAACAATCCAGCAGATTTACTATCAAGACGAATTGCCGCTAGCAAATTAGCTCAACACAATCTCTGGCTATATGGACCTCTGTTTCTACATGGCTCTCGCGACAAGTTGTCTAAGGTACAAACCACCACCCCCAGCGATCTGAAACGCAGGCTCAACCAAATAAGCCTTCCGACATGTTAAAATGAAATTGGCAGTATACTCTACAAGTGCAACCACAGCAACACCTTCAATAAGCTGCAACGTATTGTATATAATGCGTTTCTCTAATAAGAAAAACAGATAACGCACAACTATGTACTTTGTGTGTCGAGGAATTAACCAATGCAAGGACCATCATCCTGCTGACTACTTAGAAAATTGATTTTAGTCCTAAGGACAAACAACTCCGTATCCACAAAACGGATTATTAATGATAAAACAATGCCAAGAAGCACAGCTGTGTCAGATGTACTAAGGCACGGACCAAGCTAATGCAACAAATTATGGGGAACCTACCAGCTGATCGAGTCACAAGCTTGGCCATTCTTTAACTCTGGTGTTGACTACTGTGGACCGATTTGGATTCATCACAAACTCCGTGGAAAAAGACCTGATAAGGCTGTAACGAATCTCTCCGGCCGGGATAGACCTCAGCCGTGACCAGGGATCCTCTTCAAGAAATTTTATTTAGAGGGGACGGAAATATTTCTAGGAATTTATTACAACAGCGTGCGGGGCCCGGGTTGCGAATTTACGCGCACTAAAATCCGATCACCGAGGGTTGGCACCGTGGCTGCCGGGTGCGGTGGTCACTGGGTGCTCTAGAAGCAGGCGGGGCACACGCACTGCTTGTCAATGACTGGCTATCGCGCTGCTTGTATCGACCCGTCGATCTGCTTGATCGGTCGGTCCCTGACACAAAGCTGCTTGTCGCGAACTGCTTTCCGGCACTGCTTGCGCCCACTGCTTGTCTGCACTGCTCTCGCAGATGCGCGGGGTGGCAACTCCGGCGGACTCCTGGCGGAATTGGCTTGATCTCGCCCAGAATTCGGGCGACGTGGGTCGAGGGAATGGCCAGGGCGTCAGAGAGGTGTTAGTCAACTCCGGTTAGGCACGGAGGCTGGCTACGGGTCGGGCAGGCAGAGGTTCTGGTGTCACCGCGGTGATGCACGGCGTGGGGAATGGCCCATGCAGGCGGGGCGGCAGCGTGTGTCGAAGTGTCCCTAATCTAGGAGTGGACTCGGGCGCGGATGCCCTCGTAGTCGTGGCGGTACACGGTACGCGGGAAACCAGCGTTAGTGTGGCGCGGCGGCTACGGGCACAAGAAGGGGGTCCCTAGTGGGGCGAAGGCGGAGGAGCATGTATTCTCTAGTCGCGGCGGCACGTTGAGCACGGAAGGAGCCTGTGCAGGCGTGGCGCTGCGGCTGCAGGTATGACTGAGGGTCCTGAACTGTGTGTGGACGGAGGAGTATGTGTACTCCAGTCGCGGCGGCACGCTGGGCGCGGAATAAGCCTGCGCTGGCGTGACGCTGCGGCTGTGGGCACGGGAAGGATCCCTAGGCTGGGCGTGGGCGGAGGAGCAGGTATCCTCCAGTCGCGGCGGCACGCTGGGCACGGAAAGAGCCTGCGCTGGCGTGACGCTGCGGCTGTGGACACGGGAAAGGATTCCTGAGCTGGGCGTGGGCGGAGGAGCAGGTATCCTCCAGTCGCGGCGGCACGCTGGGCACGGAAAGAGCCTGTGCTGGCGTGACGCTGCGGCGAGGAGCACGGGAAAGGATTCTTAGCGGCGCGGGGCAGAGGAGCAGGTGACCTCCAGTCGCGGCGACACGCTGGGCACGGAAAGAGCCTGTGCTGGCGTGACGCTGCGGCTATGGGCACGGGAAAGGATTCTTAGCGGCGCGGGGCAGAGGAGCAGGTGACCTCCAGTCGCGGCGGCACGCTGGGCACGGAAAGAGCCTGTGCTGGCGTGACGCTGCGGCTATGGGCACGGGAAAGGGTCGATGGGAGGCTAGATGGCCGTAAAACACGTGCGAATGGTAATGCCGAAACGCAGTATTTTGGGGCCGCCAGCGGGGCAGAGATCGGGGAACCTGAAAACCGTGACCAATACTACCAAGGAAATACTACGACGGGTCAGTTCAATTGTTAGTTTATTGGTTATTTGGTTATCTAGGTGTGTAGCCTACTACTGCCTTACAGAATTGACTCCTGTAACTTACGAAACTAGCCCACGTGTCAGCGGGCGTGGGGGCTGTCGATCGCGTTGGTTGGCTGGCACAATTTATCTCCGCGAATATGTGGGCTCTGATAGCCGATGGCTCCGCGCGGTCACGTACGTCGCGGTTGCTACTCAGGACTCGATGCACTGTGTTTTCCTGACTCGGTCGCGGAGGCGCGGCGATGGGCACGTCTGCCTCGGTGCAAAGTTTTCGACGGAAGAGAGCGAATGCCGGAAGACGCGAGCTGTCATAGCTTTTGAGTGAACCGGTGCTTCGAACCGGTCCACCGAGAACGGGTCTGGTTCGACTAGTTCGACTAGTCGATAATTTTCCCGGTTCGGCGGCTTCTAAGGTGCCGAACTTAGCTTAATATTTTTAAATTAACTATTTTTACTTTTAGTATACTCCAAGTATGCGTCTGTTACGGCTTCAATGCCAACTTAAACGTTTAATGAATGAGATTGCGTGGCTCCAGTGCCGTCTTAAACCTAATGATTATATAATAGGGGGAGAATATCTATATACTTATTAGCTAATTCTTAAATTATAACAAGATGTTGTGCGCCTGTAGAATAGAGGCGTCACACTCCCTCCTTACTCTGCCCGGCCGAAACGGATCTGCACTTCTCCTGTTGTCTTCATTGTTATTTGGTATGGTCCTTCCGGCGTGCGGACGCGGAAGCGCTGACGGGAGTACTGCGCTGCATGGCTCCGGCGCTCTACCTCCTGCCAAACCGCCAGTGGAACTCGCTGGTCATGCGTGTTAGTCCACCAAGCGGATGGTATGGCGACTCGCTCGGGCACTGGGTCGTCGGTGGTGAAATCCTCCGCCGGAGGGGCTCGACGAGCAAAGCGTGGCGCCGGAGGTGGAACCTCGTCGGCGGTAGGGTCCGCAGGGGCTGGACGCGGAAAGCGCGGCGCCGGAGGTGGGACCTCGTCGGCGATGGTGGCCGTAGGAACTGGGCGCGGGAAGCGCGGTGCCGGAGGTGGGACCTCGTCGGCGGTGGTGGCCGTAGGAATTGGTGCTGTCGAAGGTACGCTCGGGTCCCAATCTGGGATTAACTCTTGGACCAGACCCTCTACTCCCGGCTCGAGCTCCTCCATGAGTATGTCCATTGTGCCTGGGGAGAGATCGAACCCGCGATCTCCTAAGCCGACACGTGGGGTGGCTGGGGGAGTGACCTCCTCGTGGGTAGTGGAGCGGCTATGGTTGGCGGCCCGGCGGTTGGTCTCGGCAGCGTGGTGTAGCGCGTTCATTGCAGTGGCTATCCCGCGGCGGTGGGCCGCGGATCGCTGGTCAGGCATAACAAGATTCGGCTGTGGCCGTGGTTGTGTCTCCTTGCGACGGAATTTTTGCTCCGTCTCTGTCTCGCTGTCGCTGCTCTCCGATTCCCATAGCATTGCCTTCCAGGTGGGCTGGTAGCCATGCTCGGTGGTCTCGTCGGCGATGGGGATCGAGCCTTGGCTTGATGATGCTAGCGGTGCGTCGTCATCGATCTGGTCACTGATGCGGAGCGCGGGTTGGCTCGTGGATGCCCGTGGGGCGTTGTTGTAAGTCTGGTCGCTGATGTTGTGTAGCGCTTGTCGGCTTGTGGATGCCCGTGGGGCGTTATCGTAGGCTTTGTCCGTGAGGTGGCGGAGCGCTTGTTGGCTCGTGGATGCCAGTGGTGCGTTGTCGTCGGCCCGGTCGCCGGGGAAGATGGGCAGGACCGCATCCTCCCCCAGTGCTGGCGACGGCGGGCGGACCTCGGGGGTGTTTCCCAAGTCCATCTCCCAGTCCTCGTCCGGGGCCATTATACACAGCCTCTCCGGTGACGGGGGAAAGGTGACAATCGGGTCCGGAGTTGGCCGGAAGGGTGCCTCAATGAGGATGGAGGTGTAGCGGGCGTGGATCAACTGAATCCACGATCCCCGCCAGAACCCGTACCGCTCCTCTCCTTCCCATTGATAGTGGGCGGCCGAGGGGGCACCATCGTCTGGCTCGCTGTCGCTACTGATGGTTTGAGCGTCGTCGTTGCTCTGTTCGCCGGCTTCCTCCCCGTGGTGTCCGGGGTACAGAGGGGTGGCGTCGCTGTCGGTGGCGTCCTCCAGTACATAGTCCTCGTCGCGTGTCGGGGCAGCTGGACTGGAGGATCGGGAGTCTCCCTCCTCGTCGTCGTCCTCGTCCGACTCCGGGTCCTGCTGGCGAGGGCTGCATGGAATGTAGGGCCCTGCAGGTGGTGGAGCAGCAGCGGTCGGATCAAGGTATCCTGGAGCGGGGCGCGGGTTGTGGGACCAACGCGAGTGGCCCGGCGCGTCCGGATTTGGTGGGCCCGGGTTATAGGAACCTTGGTAGGGTCCCGACGGCGGAGCTTGGGAGCAGGGGATCCTGCGTCCCGTTCTGTCCGTGTAAAACGGAGAGACTGAGCGGCCCGAAGGTCGTGGAGGCGTCGGTGGCGCGGCGCGCCTTGTTGGCGAGGCTGCAGGCGACTCGTCCGACGACTCGGACATTGGGTGCGGCGTGGCTCGGCGCGGTGGCGCTCTGGCCGTACTTGGGCGCATCGGGGGCGACGGGGCTCGGGAGCGCCCCGAGGGTCGTGGCGGCGTTGGTGGTGCGGCGCGCCGTGTTGGCGAGGCTGCAGGCGACTCGTCCGACGACTCGGACATTGGGTGCGGCGTGGCTCGGCGCGGTGGCGCTCTGGGCATGGTTGGCTGCATCGGGGACGACGGGGCTCGGGTAGGGCCTCGAGCCTGTCGGATCCCGGTTGGGCAGGCTCTCGTGGGTCTGCCGGCGTAGTATGCGCCAGGGCGTAGCCGGGGGTCGCGGCTGGTCGTTGGCCTGTCATATGCTCCATTTGGAGCCGTGTCCTCCTCGTCGCTGGAGTCGATAGTGATGGGCTCCATCCTGACTCGCTCGTGGCACGCGTGTGAATGAATGAATCTATGGGAGAAAGAGAACTATCCAAACTTAAACTAACCAGTACTTAAATGGTAATGTTCTAACGGGCAGTAGTAGGCAAAAGGTCTAATGTTAATCTAATTGCTAACAATGGTCTTAGGGTTAGAGGGAACCTAGTGTGCTACTTAAATTCACCCCTCGCTGACATCGTGGTCGGGTGACCGTGGCTTGTCGGACCCGGGTTGAACGCCGGTGTTGTCCTCCGACAGGGCGTCGTCGTCGGTGTCTGCATCACCTGTGGGAAGAGAAGAATGGAATTCTTTTAAGTCGGCGATATTGGCAAGGCGGCCCTTTCGTTTCCCGGGCAAGCGGATTCGGGCTATGTTTGGGGACGGAAGGGCGACCACTTTATATGGCCCGTCGAACTTGGGCGCGAGTTTGGCAGCGAATCCATCCACGGCCTTGGATAGGTGATGCTGGCGCACGAGGACCAGGGAGCCGATGGTGGGCCTCCATGCCCGACGCCTGAGGTCGTACTGCCGTCCTTGGTCGCGGCTTGCCTTCTGGATGTTTGTCTGGACGATCTGGAAAATTTCCTTCAGTCGCCCAGCTCGGTCGGCAGGGGTCTCCGGAGCGACGCCTGCTCCCGGTGTCACTTGATCGTACCATGAGCCTGGTAACCGTGGCTCTCGCGCCTGTAGCAGGAAAGCCGGGCTGTATCCTGTGGTCTCCGAAACGCTGGTATTGATGGCGAGACTCAGCTCAGGTATTAGCTGATCCCACGTACTCTGATCGCTGCCGACGTACTGAGAGATCATGGTCTTGACTGTGCGGTTCGCTCGCTCCGTGGGGTTCTCGCGTGGACAATAGGGGGCCGTGTATTGCAGTTCTACGCCCATCTCCTTAAGGAATCCTCTGAAGGCCTTGCTGGTGAATTGGGTGCCATTGTCGCACACCAGTTTCTTTGGGGCTCCAAACCTCCCAATGATTCTTTCCCGGAACGCCTGTATCAGCGTGGCGGTGGTTGCTTTTCGTAAGGGGACTAATTCCACCCACTTGGTGAAACTATCGAAGAAGACCAGCAGCATTGTGTTTCCGGTCTTGGAGCGCGGTAGTGGTCCCACGAAATCTGCACATACGATGCCAAAGGGTTCGTCGACCTGCCTCGTCAGCATCCTTCCTGCTTGTGCCTTTTGCTCTGCTTTATATTTCTGGCAGGGGACGCATTGACGGACGTATTGTTTCACGTCGCGGAACATTCCGGGCCAGTAATATTTTTGTGAGATCCGCAGAATCGTCTTCCGGGTGCCAAAGTGGCCAGCCGTGGGCGCGTCGTGGCATTCTTGGAGAATCCGTGCTCGATGCTCAGCCGCAACGCAGAGCTTCCAAGGAATATAATCTTGGTCGTCTGGGCGGTGTCCGAGGTGTCGATACAGGTCTCCGTTTTCGATGACATAATCGGGAAATCGCTGGGGGTCGTCCTGAACTTCCGTGAGTTTTCGTTTCAGCCATTTGCACAAGCGTTCGTCTGGCATTAGTCTCTGGAGGTGCTCCAGTGGTTGCCGGGATAGGGCATCGGCGACCACGTTATATTTCCCGCGGCGATAGTGGACATCGTATTGGTACTGTTGAAGTTCTAAGGCCCACCTGGCGATCCTTCCGGTCGGGTTCTCAATTTGATCTAACCATTTCAGGGCCAAGTGGTCTGTGATCACGTCGAAGCGATAGCCCTCGAGGTAGCATCGTAGTTTACGAATTCCCCAGACGATGGCTAGGCATTCCTTTTCCGTCGGAGAATAATTGAGTTCGGCAGCGTCTAGCTTCCGACTCACGTATGCGATGACCCGTTCTTGCCCCTCTATTTCTTGCGTCAGCACACCTCCGAGCCCATAGTTGCTCGCGTCGGTCTGGAGCGTCATCTTGACGGAAAAGTCTGGACATGCCAGCACCGGAGCATCCGTTAGTAGACTTTTGAGGAGCTCAAAGGCTGTCTGTTGTTCTTGCTCCCACTTGCACCGCTGGTTTTTGCGCAGCAAGTTCGTCATGGGCTGAACGACAGACGCGAAGTTCGGTACGAACCTCCTATACCAAGAGGCCATACCTAGGCATCGGCGTAATTCTCGCAGGCTCGTGGGTGGACTTAGGTTCCGTACCGCGGCTACCTTTTCAGGGTCCGTGTGGATGCCCTGGTCGCTAATGACGTGGCCGAGATAAACCAACTTCCGTTTGAAGAAGGAACATTTGTCCTGGTTTATCCGTAAGTTCGCCTTCCTGAGCCGCTTGAAGACTCTCCGCAGATTCTCCATGTGCTCTTCGAGGCTGGCCCCGATGACGATTATGTCGTCGAGATAAGCGAAGGCATATGGGTCCAAGTCTGGCCCGATCACGCTGTCGAGCGCTCGCTGGAAGGTGGCTGGAGCCGAATGGAGCCCAAAAGGCATGACCCGCCACTGGAAAAGGCCGCGGCCAGGGACCGTAAAGGCGGTACACGCCCGACTACCTGCTTCCATTGGAATCTGCCAAATCCAAGGTGGAAATATACTTTGCGTTTCGAAGCCGCTCGAGGATATGGTTGATACGGGGTAGTGGATACGCGTCGGGGATCGACTTGGCATTTAGCTGGCGATAATCTACGCACATGCGCCATTGTCCAGTCTTTTTCCTGACCAGGACCAAGGGAGCGCTGTGCGGACTACGCGATGGCTCGATACAATGCTGATCAAGGAGGGCGTCCACCTGCTCGTCGATGATCTTCTGCATAGCTGGGTTCTTTGGGAAATACCGCTGCTTGATGGGCCGATCGTCTCGCATGGTAATCCTATGCTCGGCGATGTTGGCCACTCCGGTCATTCCCTCGAACTGGACCAGCTGCTCGTGTAAGAACGCTTGGATGCGAGGGTCTTGTTCCTCGTTGGTGGTCGCGGGGGCGCCCTCAAGATTCTCCTCGGGTGTCTCGGGGTGTGTGTCGATGTGTGCCTCTGTGTGCTTGTCCTCGGTGTTTACCATCTCATGTAGGTTCATGAGGTTACCCTCAGAGGTTCCTGTGCTTGGGTTCCTATGTGCCTCTGTGTATTTCTCTTGTGTGCTCGCGCTGGGGCTCTCGTGTGTCTCTGCGTGTCTTCCTTGTATGCCCGCGTCGGGGCTCCCGTGTGTCTCTGTGTGTCTTCCTTGTGTGCCCGCGTCGGGGCTCCTGTGTGTCTCTGTGTGTTCATTGTATTGCTCCCCGGCGTTAGTATTCTCGTGTAGCTTGTGTTGCTCTCCGGCGCGTGTCTCCGTGAAATGGTCGGCGATGCCCAGGCGGGAATCTTCCTGACGAGTAGGCGGTGCTTCCTCGCTCAGCTCGGATCCGGCTGGGCCCCGCGGGCTGGGTGGTTCGGTGGTTCGAGAGTCCGTTGTATGTATGCTGCGTCTCGCGTCTCTGGGTGGCCTCATGTCCCGCTCTTCCGGCTGTCGTCTCGACAGGATGAGTTTGGCCGTCCCACACTGGATGGTGGTGCCGATCGTGGCCAGGAAATCCATGCCCAGGATCAGGGGTTCCAGCATGGCCGGCATAACGAAGAGGGGCACCTGGATAGTCTTCCGAGCGAGGGTGATATCGGCGCGCAGGAGTTGTCGAACCTCGACTCGCGAGGTGTCGGCCAAGTTAATTTGGGTGCGGATCTCCTGAAACTGGTGTCGTTGGCCAACTAGGTTGGCGACTTCCTGGCTGATGAAGCTCTTCGATGCGCCAGTGTCGATGGTGGCCAGACGTCGATGGCCACCGATCTCGACTTCTGCGGCGATCCTCCCTCTCTCGATTCTTAGCGGCGCGTTTACAAGGTGTTCGTTGTGGGATTGGTCCCCAACGGACTCCGCCGGTCGTGGGGACCCGCTCCGTTTCCCGGCTGGGGTCGGCGACAGCACTCTACGGTGCGAACATCGCGTCGTTCGCAGTCCCAGCAAAAGTATAGCCGGGGGTTCCGGCATTCGCGGCTGAAATGCCCGGAATCCCCGCAATTTCGGCACGCATCCTGCACGTTGATGCGGCGATCTGGTGTCGCTACCCGGGCGCGGGTGGCCGTGCCTGGCCTGGCGTCCGCGGAACGTCGTTTGATCTGGTGCACCCGGGAGAAAATGTTTGACCCCCACTGTGGGGAGGCGGACGGAAGGAGGGGCTACTCGGAGGCGTTGACAGGGCTTGGGATCGCCCTAGGCTGCGTCGCCTGACGGCTTCGAATTCGGTCGCCAGTTGAGCCAGCTCCCCAATTGTTTGGAACTCGCTGCGCCGAATGTACATCTGATAGTCGGGTGCGATATTCTCGTACAGGCGGTCGAGCTCCTGAGTCTCGTTATAGCCCGCGTGGCGCATGAGAACGCGAAGGTCGAGCATGAAATCTTTAAAAGTTTCTTCTCCTAGCTGCTCTCGACTCCGGATTCGGTCGTCCAAGCGCTGGAGGTATCTGGGCGGGAGGAAAAACTCGAGGAATTCCCGTCGGAATGTAGCCCAATCAGCCTCTTGGAGGCGGCTGGTTTGAAACCACTTGTCGGCCCTGCTCGTCAGCAGTTCCGCCATGGCTCGAGGGAGGAGTCCTAGGTCGATTCCATAAGACAAGGCCCGACTTTCGACCTGTTCGATGAAGGCCAATGGGTCGGAGTACCCATCAAATTGCAAACCCCATTTGCGGATCCGCTCTGGGACGCACACAAAGTCGCGACGGGGCCGGTCGTAGCTCGGCTCAGCGTAGGTTTCTCGAGCGGTAGTGAAAGTAGGAGGGGCGGCGACGGCGAGGCTTGGGGCGGTAACAGTGAAGCTGGCAGTGGTAACAACGAAGCTAGTTAGAGGAACTGGAGTAGCGGAGCCGGGGGCGCTACGTGGGCGTCCCGAATTGGCATTTTTGCCGGCGGAGAGACCACTGGGTCCCGGCCGCTCTTCTCCCTGAGGCACAGGGCTCGGGCCCCGAGTGGTATATCGACGCTCCAGGTCGGCGAGTCGAGTCCACACTTCCTGTGGTTGCTCGGATTCCTT